TGAACATTAACTTTGTGACCTCTTTCTATGATATGTTTAGCTATAGATGAAGAGGGTCGTCTCCCACCAGCGTTTATCACTGTTTCACACTCCATTTGTTTTTGAAGCCATTCAGGCACATGTTCTCCTACCCTCAACTGCATGACTTGATTACTCGTCCCTATGTATGTGTGACCACACACACATGTAAATTGGTAAATACAATGGGATGTGACGTAATCACTGATGCAGTGTCTAGGTTTTCGGTGAAGCATGTGTTCTGTTTTCTCCACAATGGTATGATTGGCAGCGTAATACGTTTTCTTATTGGCTGATGTCAGCCTACGTCTCAAAATGATACTATTTAGCTCCCTTATGTATGGAAGAGTGATATGGACACTTTCCTTAAGGACCGTGTATAGAGTTGGCTTTGGTGCTACTTGACCTCTACAACGGTTTATAAACTTCGTCGGATATCCATTTTCCATAAGTGCTTTAGTCAGTAATTTGATTTCTTCATCCATCACATCTCATGTGCTGATACGATAGATCCTATTATATAATCGCAATTTTGTCTCCATAACCCTTCGTTCAGTTTCCTACTTCGCTATATAATCATCCTGTATTACGTAATTTCATTTAATTTCATAATCCTCTGTCTATTTTCTCACTCTAAACACAAATGTGTATTATCTAACTTTCTTTCATTATTCAATATATTTTGCCCCTTGACCGGAAACAATTATGGAACACTGTACCTACTGTAAAATATATTCTCTGAATCCGTTGTGATAATGACAACATCTGAAAAGGTGTTTTTTATTTGATGCCATCGAGGATACTGTTGATTAGTTTGTTAGCCTTTTTCAACTCATTTCTTTTAATGATGACAAATTTGTCATCTAAATATTTGATCCAAAGTTTTGGTTGGATCAACGTCAATACCACAGTTTTCAATCTTTTCATTTATTATTTTTATTATTATTTGTTTCTTGGGACTCAGTAGCACGTCTCCATTTCACTCTGTTCTCTGTAAACTTTTGAACCCAGCTCCACGACAGCCCAGAAGCTCTCATTTCTTCCTCACATTATCTCCATGTCACCCTCACCTCCAACGCCCAACTTGTCGCTTTCCACCTAGGTTCCACTTGAGGGCCTAACGCGTGATGTCCCCAATAGGCCTTCTCAGTGTATGCCCGACCTATCTTCATTTCCTTCCAGTGCATATTTGTTGGGCGATAGCTTGTTCCTTCGTTGGTTCGTTGCCAGCCAGCCAGAGTTCCTTATTGCTTATTCTTTCTGGCCACCTCATCTGAGCTTCAGTAACGAGCCAGCGTAGGCAGTTGTTGATGAATGTCTAATGTTGGAAATACCTTTCGTAACGCGCCAAGTCTGTGAGTCATACAGAAGCACTGACTTGACTGACTTGGTGTCGGTTTCGGTTCAGGTGAGGTGTATAGAGCTGTAACGTCAATACACACCATCATTTCATCGTTATCAATCAGAAAATGCTTAATCTTTTCCAAATATTTTCTCTAAGAGTTGATAAATTGTTCCTACGATTCTGTCAAATGTTTTAGTTTTCTGAAAGATAAAACATTGATGTTCTTGGAAGTGAAGCCATTGATCATAATAGGATATTAGGTCTGAGTATTTTTGGTCGACCATAGCTTACTTCTTTCTGAAGTTCGTGCTGATGATATTGTCTATGATGATAACGAAAGCTTCACAATTAAAAAGTCTAGCTCAGCGAACACAACCGTATCAAAATTATTCTTCTCAGCTATGCATATTTTCCAATACACTGATATTTCAGAACGAGCAGATAGATATCACGTGACAAATTCCTTCATCCTACCGCATTACTATTCCTTTAACAAACTTCCTTCATCACATAGCATATTCATTCGTCGTTAGAAATGAACAGTTTGTGATGTGAAGAGTATTATGTAAATGTATATTCCCCTCCCCACACTGTTCCCTCAATTGTGAGACATCCTCCTAGTTAACAGTCGCATTACTAGTTGGGATCATTTCAAGAAGAGAGAAATTAAGTATTTACTATAAACCATACTCTCTCTGTATTTTCCAGTTACAATGCAACTTACCACCTTTATGAATTGTGTAACTTGACGTAGGAAATCATCCCTGTCTTTCTTCCTGTAACATTTACTACCAGATTGGTGAAAAATGAAACTATACAATTGCATTAAAAGTTTCGGTTTTTCGCTGAATCACTTGTCTCAATTCACTTCATTGTACCATGTTCGCTAATGTATCATTACGTGGTTACAATAATAAGGCTCAATGGATGAAAACTTTCTGTGGGATACTTTGAAGAGATTTAAACGGTGCAAATGTATTCACTTAAAATCTTCGTTTTCTTTTCAAATCTTTCTCGTTTATCTTAAAACTTTGTAATTCTTCCTGATTAGTTGCTCTTTGCATATATGAGAATTACGGTAGCTTGATGTTTATTGATGCTTCGATTTCCCGGTTGATATCACTATTATTATTGGTCCCTTGGGTTCCTAATGGAACATACGGCTTCACTAGCACGTCTCCATTCTACTCTGCTCTCTGAAATCTTTTCTACCTGGCTCCACGACAGCCCACAACCTCTCATTTCCTCCTCGCACGATCTCCTCCATCTCACCATCACCTCCGACGTCCAGCTCGTCGCTTCCCATGGGGATTCCACTCGAGTGTCTGGCCTGACACATGATGTCCCCAGTCGGCTTTCTCAGTGTATGCCAATTCAATCCATCTCCACTTCCTTCCAGTGCATACTTGTTGAGCGATGGGTTCCTGGTTGGTTCGTTCCCAGAGCTCCTTGTTGCTTATTCTAATCATTCTGGCCATATGATCTCCATCTTCAGTAACGAGCCAGTGTAGGCAGTTGTTGATGAATGTCCGGAGTTTGTTGGAAATGCCTTTCGTAACGCTCCAAGTCTGTGAGTCATACAGAAGCACTGAGTTGACTGAATTGGTGTTGAAAATCCGGATGTTGTTCAGGCTTTATGCTGAGTGCAGAAGATCTCCACACTGGTTTCAGGTTAATGAACGCCTGTCTTGCTTTTCCGATTCTGACTTTGACATCCTCGTCTCTGCCTGTGTTGCCTGTAGTTGAAACAATGCTTCCTAGATAGGTGAAGGAGGTTACTTCCTTTGAGTTTCTCCCGTTGATGGTGACTAGAATTTGTTGTTGTTGTTAGAGTTGTTGGTCCGGTATCTTCATCACTTCTGTCTTCTCTATACTCACTTGAAGTGCTGTCTTCGCTGCCCTGCCTCTTCTGTCAACTTGTTAGTTTTCGCCTGTTCATCTTCAACTTTGTGTGACATCAGATACAAGTCATCACTGGCGAAATCCAGATCTTCTAGGTTCTTTTCCGCAGTCCAGCGTATCCCCTCTTCTCGCTCCTCACTGTTTGCTGCATGATCCAGTCCCGGTTGGTATACTGGGACTAATTTCCTTGACCTCTGTTGGCCGATAGGCTACTACATACAGGCCTCAGGACTCCTGTGCTATTCATAAGTTTAAAATCCATTGGGTTCCTTCACAGTGGAACATAAGACAGTGCTTCTATGTGATGATGGTTGAGAGACTTGCACCATTACGAAAAGCATCTACTTCCAACAAAATTCACACATACAACATCAACACCTGCCAAATACACTCACCCCATACTGAACATCAGACCAGATAAGATCAGATGAGATGAGATGAGATGAGAAGGCGAGAAAGAATAAGTGAGGAGGATGTGTGGACTGGCAAGGAACCAACCAAGGAAGAAGCAAGAAACATATCACTCAACAAATATGCAGAATAAGGAAGTGGAGATGGATCGGATTGTACTGGATTGGACATAGACTGAGAAGATGGTTTGGAGACATGATGCATTAGGCTATGCCAGAACAGACCAGGCTGTTGAGTGTAATCGGAATGGGGAAGGACGAGTTGGGCGTCGGAGGTGTGGATGACATGGAGGAGATTGTGTGAGGAATAAATGAAAGTTTATGTTGAGTGATGGGTTGAGGTTGAAAAGAGTGGAGAGAATGGAGTGAAATGGTGACGTGTTACTGAAGCGCTATGTTCCACTATGAAGGAAACAAATGGACAAATAATCAATAATAATAATCTTAGAATTATCGCAGAAACGATTGAAATCTCTATCCTACTTGTCGGCAGATAATGAATGCTCATTTAAATCTCTCTGGTTACTAGGATGAGATGCAGGAAATAGTCATATCAAGGTAACATTCATCATGGAGAAGCACTGAAAACTTGGGAACATTTAAGAGGTTTTTCGTCCTAATATGGTATTCCTCGGTAGTGAGTACCGCCCACCTTCATACCTCGCGGCGAAAACGCCATCACTTAACACCGCTGGACGAGAATTCAATTGTTATTATCTTCCTATTTCTGTTAATTCGCGATATAGCATGATCATCGTCTAATGGAGTTAGCCAGTAATTCTCCTCACCTCCAAGTTAGTTGACGCTACAGGTCATGGTTTCTCGCCATAACTTCATGAAATCCTCCTGAAATCACGTCACTAATGAACACTAGACAGTAATTCAACTTTTTGGAAATTGATTAATCGATTTCAAAGTGATATTCATCATCGTTGTCGGGATCATGGGTACAGGTTACTAACATGTCCCACAAAGAAAACGAATCAGCTGTCCGGAACCCTTTGATTTCCATTGATTCCTCAACTGATGTCAGTCTGTCATCAATGCTACCTTGAAAGTAATCAATCCTCGCAAACCTCCGAGCAGAATTACATAGGATTAGTTCAATAATTCTATCTATGAAGAAGTAACACATCATAACTCTCTCTCTTTATATATATATATATATATATATATATATATATATATATATATATATATGTCATACGTATGTGTAGTTGTATTTCTGTGTATGAGTGTGTGTGTGTATTCTAGCTTCAACATCATCTCACAAACCCACCTATGAAGAAGACTAGCCAGAATTCTTTTAAAAAAAGACGAAATATAATCGGATTCAATCACTGAGTTTATTTAAACGTATAATACATATATATCTATATATTGGGTGTATAGTTACTGAATAACGCATGGTAAAGAATGATCTGCACCGTTAAACTAGTTTGCCGGTTAGCTCCAAAAGTGTTGTTTTTTGATCCCGATTGATTGATTGCCACCTTTTCGGTATGTGTGTGTGTGTGTGAGAGAGAGAGTATGTCTTTCCATTGTTCATATATTATATATACACACACATATACAGAAAAGGTGACAATCAATCAATCGGGATCAAAAAACAACACTTTTGGAGCTAACCGGCAAACTAGTTTAACGGTGCAGATCATTCTTTACTATGCGTTATTCATTACAGTTGAAACAATGACGAGAGAGAAAAATAATAAACAGATTCGATGAGAAGTTCCTGAACAGAAAAAAAAATAGATAAAACAAAATGAAATGCAAATTTTTAGATTGTGAAATATGTAAAATAGATTATTGAAATTCTCATTTTGAATTTTAACATTATGACAAGAAAGGGAGTGAGTGATATTACATAATCGAATAATTGATTGAGTATAGAAAGTTGACTATTGATTTATTTCTATGTAAATGGATTGTGATCGTATTTAAAGCTGAACTATTAACTGGTTAGAAGTAATCGACACGAAGCCCTACTCTACCTAGGGGTTTCGTACTTATTGGCGCTCATCAGCGATGCAACCTTGACAGAAGTGGGATTCACCCATTTTTGCAGTCAGTGACGTTACCATTGAGCTATTTAAGTGGCTATTCACCTCCCGTAGGATGAGAGTACATACATTAGTCAGCGGAGAGGCAGTAATGCTATGTTGCCTGCTGCTGAATCCTGACCGAATTTACTTGATCGAAATTGAACCGTGGTGTGGTAGAATGCCGCTATCAAACTCAGTAGTTTACACTTCAATAGATGGAAGACTTAAAAGTTAACAAAATACTTGTTGCATGTATGTCTTCTGTAGCGTATATTTGGTATTTGAATGTAGATAAAACTCACTTGGAGATAAATATTCGCATAGGTTTTCTTATTCCTAACGATATTTTACCTATATTCCGTTAATTTTAGGTTCAGTGTGGTTTATATCAAATACACTGTGAGGCGGCATGGATCTGGATTATCCTGGTTATGCGCTACACTTTAAACACCCAATTGAACGCAGAAACACACCGAAGATGTTGGTGGTGTTGGCGTTTGATTTGAGATGGCACAAGCCTTTTGAATCTTGTATAGACAATTATGTCCATCATAACGGTAGCAGTTCCCATGGCAGTGGGGAGTATTACCACCCTAAACATATAGCTTACACGTAGGCCTTCATCACGTCAAAACGACAGTCCGTTTTTATTTCCAGACATAAGTCATCTTTTATGCTTAATCGGCTGATGTCGTGCAGAAGACTGGGTTTCAATCTCAGGAGAGGACGAGTGTTTTCATTGCTGAATTTCACTGAGAGAGAGAGAGAGAGGCAGTAGATATATGGGACCTAACTCAAAAGTCTGGTATTTAAAAAGTCAACGAAATCTTCATTCTCAACAAAGAAAAATAGCTAGGTCATAAATATCTCTTACTGCTATCTTACCACAGGATGAATGATCATCTTTTGTCTGAATGAACTACTCACAGCATGAGTATTTTCCACGCTCATTTGCAATAAAAAAAGATCTGCGGGAATGGTATTAGCAGAACATCAAAAGCTGTACTCATGTCGTTTACATTTGGGAGTGTATCCATTGCACTACAACATGACAAAATACCAAAACTTCACTTGATTATGCAGTATCTATAAGCAATGGATTTTTTAGAGCGTTATTTCTATGCCACTGATGGATATCTTAGTCGTACAGCTTTCATCGTCATTCTAGACTGATGCAACTAATGATCACTGGTGCTGCTGTCGGACTCGGAAATACCGAAAAACTATTAGTGGCTAAAAGAGATACCTGGAAAGAATACCTACAACGGAACACTTTACAAAGTTGATCACTACGATTGAAAAACCAAACAGACAATACAATGAACAGATAAGAAATATTCTTTAGTAGAAGCTGATCAAAATTTCAACACCACGAACATCATAAGAGGAAGAAGCAAATAACTGTAGTTAACAACCTGCTTCTTCAAGAAAAAGTTAATTACAGTCCAGAAGGCGCTTAGAAACAGAAATTCCCTGATAAATTGAAGTCATCAAGACTACTCAATGCGATACAAAGACGATAAATAATTGTGCCTTAAACCGAACGGAAGCAAAACTTCACTTATCTAACCAGTGAGAAACTTAAAGCTGTTGAACTAATGAAAAATAAAAAGAATATCGTTATAGTTCCAACTAACAAAGCGTATACCATAGTAGTCATAAATAAGGATAACTATGTCAAGATGGTCAATAATGCGTTCATGAACTAAAATACATGGCAATCAACTAAGAGAAACCTCATTCAAGAAATTAACCTTCAGATGAGCAATGCCTAAAACAAGTTTGTCAGAAAAGGATGAATTGCAAAGAAAAATCAATGGCGAATGTAATCGAATGAATCTGTTCCTTCATGTTTCTGTCGTAGACCAAAAATACACACACCAAATTTCCTTCTATGGTCAGTTGTTTACTTCCGGAAACTTCAATATGGGATCTGTTGAATGGACTTTTTAAAAAGTTGAAAAGTCTTATAGGATTGTGTCGCCATTCTATAAACTGACGGATAGAATTATTGGGAAAGATCAAGAATATTCATATTGATGACAACAATTGATGGTATCTTTCGACATTATGACTATACGACATTTATCTATTGAAGCATTATAATTGTTTTTTCCCTCGGTTTCTTGTGGAACATACAGATTCAAAGCACATCACCATTTCACCCCCTCCTCTCCACTCTTTTCAACCTCAACCCATCACTCAACATAAACTTTCATTTATCCCTCACACAATCTCCTCCATGTCACCCACACCTCCGACGCCCAACTCATCCTTCCCCATTCCGATTACACTCAACAGCCTGGTCTGTTCTGGCATAGCCTAACGCATCATGTCTCCAAACCATCTTCTCAGTCTATGTCCAATCCAGTAAAATCCGATCCATCTCCACTTCCTTATTCTGCATATTTGTTGAGTGATATGTTTCTTGCTTCTTCCTTGGTTGGTTCCTTGCCAGTCCACACATCCTCCTCACTTATTCTTTCTCGCCTTCTCATCTCATCTCATCTCATCTCATCTGGTCTGATGTTCAGTATGGAGTGAGTGTATTTGGCAGGTGTTGATGTTGTATGTGTGAATATTGTTGGAAGGAAATGCTTTTCGTAATGGTGCAAGTCTCTCAACCATCATCACATAGAAGCACTGTCTTACTTGACTGAATTAATGTTGAACACCCTAATCCGGATATTGTTCACGCTTTATGATCAATGCAGTAGATCTCCACACTGGTTTCAGATTAATGAACGCGTCTTGCCGTCTTTCCGATTCTGCCTTTGACGTCCTCGTCTGTGCATGTGCCGCCTGTAGTTGAAACGATGCTCCCTAGATAGATGAAAGAGAACATCTCCTTTAAGTTTCTCCCGTTCATGGTGATTGGAGCTTCTTGTTGTTGTTGGTGGCGTTGGTTAGGTATCATCATCACCTCTGTCTTCTGCACGTTCACTTGAAGTCCCGTCTTCTCTCCCCTGCCTCTTCTGTCATCTTGTTACTTTTCGCCTGTAGATCGTCAGGTTTCTGCGATATTAGACACAGATCATCGGCAAAATCCAAATCATCTAGTTTCTTTTACCCGGTCCAGCGTATCCCCCTCTTCTCACAGCTCCTCACGGTTTGTTGCATGATCCAATTCAGTCGACCACAATCAGGAATATCATGGGTGATAGTACACTGCAGCCTTGTTTCACTCCTGTCTTCACTTCAATTCAAAGGTATCACTGAGCTTCCCATTATTAATCATTTGGCATGTGGCATCTTCATATACTTGTTGAATGAGGCGGATAAATGTTTGTGGTATTCCGTAGTATTGAAGCAGTTTCCAAATTACCTCTTGGTCGACGCTGTCAAAGGCGTTCTCAAAGTCGACAAAGTTGAGGTAGAGAGTTGACTGTTATTCTATACTCTGTTCTATGATGATGTGTAGAGTAGCGTTGCAATTTCGTCTGCACATGATTTGTACTTCCTGAAACCAGCCACACAGCCTGTTCTGGTTGTAGTTTTGAATCCAGTGCATGCTTTAGTCTCTCCAGGATGATACGGCTTAATATTTTGCTTGATTTGGGTGGATAGAAGAGTGATTCCGTGCCAGTTCTTGCAAACACCTATGTCGCCCTTCTTTGGTAGTTTGACGAGGTAGGCTTTCTTCCAATCGCCAGGTACCTTCCCTTTCTTCCAGACCTTCTGCAGTAGTGGTGTGAGCATGTCCACCGCTGTTGTCTCTGCGTCTGTTCTCAGTGCTTCTGGCGGTATCCCATCTGGTCCTGCTGCTTTCCCGCATTTCAGTTGCTTATGGCGTTCAGGACTTCGACTTTCATCGGAGGATTTATGTTCACTTGTAGCTCTGTGGCTGCAGGTGGTATTTGTGGACAAAGCTCAGGTGGTACAATGAATTATACCTACACTTTTTTCATTCTAATGTATTATGTCCACTCCCACAAACCATTTGTAATTTTCCATTCTTTTTTGCTAATATAACCACCATGAAATTGAATTTCCACCCCACTCATTCCTTCTACTTCCATAGAAAGTGAAACAAAATTGGTTCATTAAAATAGATGGGACCCTTCGTAGTAAATCCTTCTTCCTAAGAGAGTTACTACTTAGACATTCATTCTCTTAGTTTTACTCATCATCTTAAAGCTGGGGAGGGGGACGCTTAGAAACTCAGCAATGGGTGGAAAAAGGGATTGATGAAAATACCTTTGAAGGGATTTACTTCATAATTAGACTACCTGAAGAAACCATAGTTCTTCAGACGGGCGTTATGAATACTGAGTGAAGATTGAAGGATTCGAGCTAGTGGTCTACGGGTTACCAGTCTGGTGCACTGTAACTCTTGATCACACCTTAACTGCACCTCAGTTAGAGGTTTTGTTCTCGAATGTCTCCGACTGAAAAGGATACCGGCTAAGTACATCAGCCCATTGAAGGGTGTTCGAATACCTATGTATATGTTAAAGCTAATTATGAGTGGTCAAGTCAGTTCTTTAGGTTGGATAGTATCCGTCAAGAGTGTCCACTTTCTCTATTCTTATTTAATTTTTTCATAGATGAACTTACAGGAGAGTGCTTAGTAGTCCTGGAGTACACAGATGACACTGTCCTGTTAGGTGAAGATTCAAAGTCTACTAAACACATTCAGTGACAATTTAGGAATCCTTTCGAGGTGTTTCTCACCACACAAATGTATACA